CTAAATGGTCACCAGAGAGGCAAAGACAGAAATAAAATTTTACTGCCAGAATCCTCAGTTGCTCTATTCCCTCAGTCTTTGTATGCCTCTCTTACCAACACAACCTATACAAAAAATAACTAGTGACTAGTACAGCATGGCCCCATAAATCAACTCCAGTTCATCACTGAAACCACAACAGTTGGATCATCTGCTGATGCTGCATTTGAACACAGCAGGGCTGTCCTCCAGCAGACCACAGTAACAGGATAGCACTGTGGACTTGATACCCAGCAGTGACTTGGATCTCTTAATTTGCCCACAGCTCCCAGCTGTCATCTTTGAAGGAACAAGCCAACAGAATGGCATCTACCTTCCTCCCAGCTTCAGCTTGCAAAAACAAGTAAAAACAACAGGCACTCTCAACTTAACTTGGTTACTCCTATAGTTCCTGAAAAGCATCTTCAGTTCTATCCACAGAAGTGCTTTAATGAAAACACTGGATTCATTTCCTAAGTTAAAATTATTAAACTCTATACTGTGTCCTACAAATGTTCCAACAGTACAATCAATCTACAATCTTCAATCTACATTCAATCTACAACTATGATGCTCAGATACTAGATGTTGTGGATAGCAGTAGACTCACAAACGCACGATCATATATTCAGGTTATCACCTTTGATACAGGGTTTCTATTCCAAAATCCCTACAAACCAACAAAGCAAGAGAGAAGCAATACAAGGGGTATATTCCCCATTTAGATGAATGGGGAACTAAGGTACACCCAAGAGGTATTTAGGTACCCAAATATAACAGCTGGAGTTAGGAGCAGTGAGAAGGCAACAAAAAAGCTGGTGAATAGAAGTTAATTTAAATCACAGGGCAGACGTGCCCTACAGCATGCTTTGGGATCTTTCTCACACAGCTGTGAAAACTGAGCACCTGGTCAGATCTTCCCTTTTGTCCTGCATGCTTTTATTTTCTTCACATCGAAGCCAGGAAACATGAATAGATTTGTGTGTTTGGATCCAGCCCAGGAAGGAGCTGGGACACAGCTACGACACCCACTCATATCCACCACCTGGAAAATTAGTTTACATTTTGCTGTTTAGACACCTTGACTTTCTTGTAACATCTAGGTGTGGTATTTCAAGAGGAATGTCACTTACATTCCCACGCAACTAAGAGTCTCATAAAAAGCTCAAGTTCGGAAGAATAGTCCTGCTCATAACTGCAGCAGAATTTTCTTCTCTTTCACTAATCACAGGCATATACAAAAGACCTTACAGCCTGCATATGACCCAGTTACTCCATCTGGTTGTTTGAAGTTCATGATTAAGATAAATCAACAAACAGAAAAGCCAAAGACAATCGCTCCTTATTTCCAAGTGATTGTTAGCAGCAATCCTAACAGGGCTGGATACAGATAAACACTACAGGTAAGAAAAGCCCCTCTCAGCATTTCATCTTCTGTTTTTTCTCTTCTATAGAGTTCGCAAATGGTAGGGACGCATATCTGACTGAGGAGCTGACAAATAAACAAAATAAGCAGCTAGTTTTCAAATATTTCCTGTGCTTTGTCTTCTAATTTTATACTACTGGTCCCAAGATCCTAACTTTATATTCCATATTCTGTTTTATGAATAAAAGGAACTCTTCTTTTGGGAACTTGACAGTTCAGGGTAATTCAGGTTCCTTTACCTTTGGCTCACAATACCTTTACTACAACGTGAGGAAACAATGAAGAAAGGGAAGTAATATCTTCATGTCACTTAGTGGTGTATCTATAAAAAGACTGAGTTCATTTCTTCAAAAACAAACATTATGACAAAATCCAAGATAAAGAGAACCTGTGGCACCAGCCTGGAAGAAGTATGACAAGGTTGTCTTCGTGGCAGAGAGGGCCCAACTCCAGAGCAACATGGGGCATGCCAGCAGAGCACGCAACGCGCGATTGTCATCGAGGTACTGGTAATGCAAGTACCATTGGCACCACAAAATTCACATGCATCACATACATAGACATCTTTGTTCCCAGAAACAGCTTGAAAAAAGTGAAGAGTAAGTTACAAATCATTTTATCAGTTAAAGCTGTATAGCCTTATAGGTATGCATTCCTGAAGCACTCATCACAAGGACAAAGTGGTGTAAGACCAACCCAGTGTAATTTCCCTTTTCCTAGTCAGGGGAATATAAAGAATCACTGAAAGCTCTAAGAGGCCTGTCTATACACTTCAGTGAAAATTCTGTTAGAACAAGGTAATTCAACCACTGCAGGCAAATGTTAAAGATTAACGCTAATCTTCCTATTGAAGGGAAACCACTGTTCCCAGACTCTATAAATGCATACTCTTAGGTGTCTAGTTATGGCAGGATTCGCAGTGGTATGCTGTTGCCATGGAGTAGAAAAGGGAAGAAAGAAGCAATACAACTTCTGACAGCAAAATAAAGTATTATATTTTACTTCCACTGGAGTTAATGGCACAACTTCCTGACCGCACTGAAGTCAGATGATTTTATACAAAACAAGAAAATGAATCACTGAAGTATCACCTGAAAAAGCACTCAAGTATTACTTATTAAATAGCTTGTATTTAACAGGAAATGCCATTCCATTTCCACTCTTGGAATTTCAAAAAGACTTTAGAAAATAGTATCAGCTGTCACAACAGTCATCAGTACCATTTACATTTATAGAAACACTGAGATTAATCCATCTTAAAAAAAATATGGAAGAAGAGAAGTTCTATCAAAGTTTAGTCATTCCAGTCTTCCTTTAATTGAGCTCCAGTACTAGCCTGCAGATATCAGGAGACTTTAACAGTGGTCTTGTTAGATGCTCATTAGTTAATAAGACAACACTTGAAAGGTGCTCATAACATGCTACAACACATTTCCTCTTTGCAAGACATATTTTGATACTTCAGTAATGGAATTAAATTTAATTTACTGCAGTAGTGTGAGAATTCATTCTGCTTCTCCTGCTGTGATCCCATTTCCACTGCAACCAGGTCAACCTATT